AATTGACGGCTGCTTCATCCTGCCCATCTCCCTAACCATCAGAAGTCACTAGAGACTAGCCCCAACATGATAATATGTGCAGGTCGCTGGAGATTCCAAGAACGAGACATGCTGGTGATAAAGATAAGTTCTCAGAAATTCCATGTGCATATTTCAGCCTTATACACAAAAAATATAATATGATAAGTAACACAACATATGGGAAACCAACGTGTTGTGTTTTGGGCAATAGCCAAATGGGATGTTTTTCATCTACGTCATTGAAGCAGAAAGGGCAGTGTCCACTTCCGTGGTCCTTTTTGGGTACAATCATTATGCTTGTGAATATTGTATTTAGTTCTTTTAGAGAATTCCGTGGCATACGAAACGTGAACTGGAAATTATATCTCTTATTCAAGCTATATGCCAGCATCATCAATATCTTTATTCTTGCATAATCCCATGCAGATTTTATATTACATGCCGTTATTTTGCCGTTGTCTTCTATAATGCAAGCATAACAGACAGATTAAACAAAATCCCCACAGAAAATGCAGAAATAGTTCAGAAGGTAACGGCAGAGCGTTCCAGGCTTTGTAGCGTCCCCATACGCTTTCGACAATCTGTTATATAGATGTACAGCAAATGACTCTTCGTTTACTGTGCCTTTATGAAGGAAACATTCTCGTGTAACGTTAGGCCACTCAAAAGGATAAAACGATTGCTGATACAAACGTCTGACTATGCACGACTCGTCTTTGGATACATCTTCATATCTGCTGACGTCACACAGCCACGTGCGATGTTTTCTCGCCACGCGGGTGAGAAGACTCGGTCCATTTGCCGCCCAATCGCTCTGATTATAGTGAACAAGGTAATTTTTAATACACTCACGGAGAAATGGATTGTGCTTATCGAATTTCAGAACAGCCCCATTTAAGAGGGAGTTTTCATTGTTTTCCCATGCAGTAACATTATTCAGAACTTTTAAACTCTTTACTAAAATGACGTCAGTGTCCATGTAAACGCCACCGTACTGATATAACAAGAGCAACCGTATCAAGTCAGTTTGGTGGCTATACCAATATGGTCCTTCTGAAATAACGGGCAATCTCTTCAAGAACGCTCTCGAGCAACCTCTAAAGGTGTCTGGTTCCAGATTTTCAATGCGCTTTAGTAAGTTTTCAAGAGTATAGTTCTCGACTTCTACTTGAAAACCTGCTTCAGTGAACTCAGAAAACGCGTTTTGTGTCAAAGCATTGCTCAGAATTCGCACTTTCGCATTTGGATGGTGGTAAAATATACTCTCCAGTGAACGGCGGTTCCGCTTTGTCTGATTCTTTGTTGCGTACACTTGAAAGAACACTGAATCAGTTGTTTCATTTTGATTAAATTGCCCGAATGTTTTAAAGGGTACGACCCCAAATGTAATCGCTGTTTCTCGTAATGCGCGGGATTTTCGTATCTCGTACCACAAAGTGGCTCGAAACCGCATGTATATTTCACGATTTGGATTCATTTCCGGTTTGTCCCAATTAAAGTTGTCCAGGCCTCTGTAGGTTTTCATCGTACGGTCCACAGTCACTGTGTGAAAAAGTTCTGTTAAGCCCTCAGTTCGACGCCCTCCACCTCCAGGTAAGACATCAGTTACCATAAAAACTACTGGAATTCCCATGGCAACGCATGGTAGCGCGCAATGGATACGCGAGGTTATAACTAATTTTGCGCGTGAGTATCTCTCCATCAAGCTTTGTGCTTCTTCGTAGCGTGTTAATCTATCAAATGTCATCCAACTGGGCAGATCGTGTTTGACGTATATTGCCGATTTTCGTATGTGATACGGAACAATTAATTCTAAAGCGCGTTTGTTTACATTAACGACAAATATGCCCTCTCTTTTAATGGTGGGATTGGGATTACGCATCAAAAGTGTCAAGCAGCCCGATTTATATACTGAAAAGTTTTGGGATTTTAGGAAATTAAAAGTGCCTTCATCACGAGCACCCACAGGGCCATGATGTCGAAGGTAATTTCTGCCCGGCTCAGTTAGTAGCTTCTTCCAAAATTTGGACCCAAAGTGCATCGATAAAATCAAAGGGTTTAGATTAACTTTTGGTGGCCATATCATGTTGCGGTCGTTATACCAACCATTAAGAAATATTGTGATTTCTTTTTTGAGATTATTGGTTTCGTTGGAAACAATGAATCCTTTTCTATGCTGATTTTTTGTATCGCTTGTTTTTGACATGTCATCACCGGCTGCATTTGGGTTTATGTACAAAGACCAATTTTTTGCCTTTCCATGACTTTCTCTTTTACTGTTTTCTTCCCAAAAATTTTCAGTATTCTCCGACTGGACAAATGTATTTACTACACTGGTGACGTTCCAAGTATCTCTGTCCACAAATAGGTCTACAAAGGGAAGAAATTGTAGCCCTGCCAGCGTTTGAATCTCATCCCCAACGTTGCCGACTCTCACCACATTGACCCGATGGTCAAAACTAAGAATCCCAAAGAGTTCATCTGACGAAATAGGTATTACAGAATCTCTACCGCTCTTTTCAATCTGTCTCTTATCTACCTGGTTTAGAACTTTTGATTTTAGTAAGATTGAAGCAGTGTCCCAATTTTGGATTTGGCTTCTACTGCGACTGCTGTAGGCCGACTGAATCTCGATCATAGCATTTTGGACGAACAACGATTGTCGTTCAAACCTGGATACGAAAAAGATGCCTTTGGTGGACATCCATTCCCCCGTGAAATATTCATCTGGTAAATTTGACGGGACTATTCTTCTTACATCTATGTAAAGTCCACCAAATGTCCACAGTGCAAGTAAAACACTTACTTCATGTACGACTGCCATAAATTTACGACCCATGAGCAATTTCAGAATGGCGGATTTAGAGACAAAATCGTCCAGTGGTGTGCCTTGAGTCAACTCAGATAACAGTAAACGAAGTACTGTTACGTGTTTCCATGACTTGGCGTCTATTTGATCTATACATCCACTGCTTCCACACAGAAATACAACGCGTTTCCCTGGATTTAACCGGACGACGGTCTCTATTTTATCCATAAGCGTTTGTGGAATTGCGGCATAATGCGACCAGACCATGACAAAGTGTTGTGGTGCTGCAGTTAACGCGTCCTCTTTATAAGATGTGGGTACAGGAGATTTGGAGCCACCGGTCATACCAGAAGTAGATGGCATGGCAGTCGCCAAAAACTGCTTTAACTGGGTATGAAGGCCTTTCCTGTTCTCCCGGTAGATGGTTTCTCCGGACTGCATCTTAGCCACCAAATTGCCACTTGTGGTAACTTTCGTCACTGCTGACGGCAGGGCTGAGTTGGAATAAAAAGATGTAATAATATAATAGTAATAAAATATAGGCCTATATGTAAAATGAGCACGTCAATACATGAACAATATTGGAACCTGAAATGTACTTTTTATATATAAAAGCATTTTCAAGTATGCCCATACCATAAACTGGCTGCAATATTGCAGGCGAATCTACCAGAAACGTTATTAAAACTACAAATTAAATTCTGATTAAGAAGCCGTAACTATCTCAATGGTCTTGCAATTGCGTATGCTGAACTTCCTGAATCTGATAGGCTTTCCTGTTCTAATAAATATAATGGCGAATAATGGAAGCCCTTTAGCTTACCTTCAAACCGGTTCATGAAGGTGTAAATCAATGTTCCAGTCACTAACAGCAGAAAAGGCAGAAGGGATGTCCGCCTGCAACGAAAACATCTACGAAGACTCATCACCCTAGGTCTCATCTTACCATACGCCATGGAGGCAGACGAAGTGATAAATCCGAGGGAAAAGATCCTCAAAATAAATGACGTATCACGTGCACGGAGCTGCTGGTGTTATGTGAATAATGCATAACGAGTGTTGAAAATCATTTATGATTCAACATAAGAAACACTTTGACACGGAGAATCATCGTAGTTCTTCTTCTAGCGCTAATCCTACCGTCATTAATGCCTTCGTCGCCTGCGCACTTGTTACTTACCTTACTTGGAGAGCAATATTTGGAAGCAATGTGGTGTAGCTGCGCAAAACAAGAAGACATACACAAACTACAAAAGCATGGCGGAAGAATCATTCTCGATATCCCAGGAAAGGAAGCCAAGAACCATCCATCAATCGAGCTAATTATAAAAGTGGACTGTCAAATAATTTATGAACGAATAAAATTTAAGAAAGCGACACTTGTTTTCACATCAGTAAATGACTTTCGAAAAAACGTATTAGGGACTTTCTCGATCGGTACTACAATAATTGACATTACGGGAAGAATCACCAGATCAAGTAATATAGTTAATTTTTATTTGCCGATTGGCATGAACATAAAGACATACTAAAGATGCAATATGGGTGGAAATATGGAACTGTATTAACTCTGAAATTAGGCCTAATAACTTCGGAGACTTGTACGTACATTTAAAAAATGTACGTAGACCCCGTATTTAAAAAATCAAAAATACTTTTTATGTTATGTAGCTTTTACGTTTTTTGACTAAATGTTTTTTATTTATAATTTAATTTTTTTTAATCATAGGCCTGAGTATATATAAGCCCGTGCCACCAAATTAGCCATAGGCCTACTATGATAGTATTAGCAATGGACCATATTGAAGCTCGATCTTTCCTTTTTTAAGAACCCTTTTTGTCCTTTACAAAACATTTCCTAATTAAAAATGTAACTATTATAACTGGAAATGAATTATGTAAATATGCAACAGCATGTGGATAACCATGATAATTAAAAAAGGAGAGTTTTAATTATTATTGTAAATATTTTGGGCACCAAAGGGTGCGTTTGGTCTTGTGTAAAGTGGTAAATTAACGTAGCCGTAACTTGGCAAAAATTACACAATTGCACAACCATAATAACTGACTAGTGTATTTCAGAAAGAAATATCAGCATCTGACACTTATATTTGAGGGTGTTCATCATTTAAAAACCTGTTGAGAGGGGATCTCGGAAAGATGAAGAGCTCTTGTCTTGGGTGAGTCACTTTTGTTCCTCCTATTACTGAAGAAACTCACGCTGCCGCAAATAGACTTCGAACTTTTGATAAATTCTGGCGAGTTTTAGGGTAAGCACTTAATGTTATACTGTATTTATTTGGCAGAACACTTAGAACAATGAACTCACTGTAGTGCATGATTATCAATTTTGCACACCGAAAATTAAGATAAATCTTGGTCCGGCTTTCCCTCTTGAATCGTTACGCCGCCAGCACATCTTCTCTGATATATACACATACTGTTGTGCTAACGCACAAAAGGCAAAGACTCAGCTTTGGAATGCCGACTAGCTTCTGCATCCAGCATGATGCTGGGGGCTCTCAAAGTTCCTCAATTCGCACATTTCTGTAAACCCAACCAGTTTCCCTACGGGTACACGCCACTCACCGACGAGTAAACAGCTACTCACTGTAACTGTAGTGTTAGCTTGAATGATAAACTAAAAATCAAGGTGTAATGGAGAGCATATGAACTCCAAACGACGCTTAAATTTCTAGCTTCGAGAGTTTGTAACACAGGGTATTATGATCGAGGCCTCATACCAGCTGTAAGACAGAAAAAAAACATGCCAATGATTTGTGGCTTATATTAATTCTATCATATATGCAGACGTTGATGCATAATGCAACACATTGCTCTTTAATGGGTCAGGGCAAATACCTGCATTTAAAGAAGCTGATAGTGAAAATAGTGATTTATAATGAAGTTAATAATAATAATAATAATAATAATAATAATAATAATAATAATAATAATAATAAATTTTGACTGTCAATATGGAATTATATCCTTCAGTATGTTAATTTTGTCATCTCTCTTTATATAAGGCACTCACCATGGCTCTGACAGAAGTTTCAAAGAACAAGAGTTTTGGAGGATGGCAGAAAGTCTTCAGTCATGATAGGCAAGATTGTATTCTGTTGTGTTTTATTGTATTGTAAAGTACACATTTATAAATTTCACAGTTTTGACTTAAAATAAAGAAATAACAAGTAATAGGATGCATGTTTAGTAGGTGATGATTTTTTTTCTAAACAGAATCTTTAATTTCAGCCAAGAACTGAAATGCAAGATGAATTTTGGAGTTTACCTTCCCCCACAAGCTGAGACTGGAAAAGTGTCTGTCCTTTACTGGCTGTCAGGTATCTCTCTCTCTCTCTCTTTCTCTCTCTCTCTTGCCCTTCCTCCCTCTCTCTCTCCATCCATCCCTACCTCTCTCTCTTTCTCTCTCTCTCTCTTATTATTTTATTTCTACCACTTTTGAGTGTTTGTTGCAATTATTTTTTCTTTGCAAATCAAAGACAAAAAAAACATATATGCATTAGTAAAAAAGACCATAAATTTTACAATCTACTGCCTGAGGCAAGTAAAATCATGCCATTTTCTCTGCAAAGAACTCAAAAATATACCTTGATACCCAAACTGAGAACTATCAGATCTTCAGAGAAGTCCATACCATGGGCATTGAATACTTTTAAAAACTGACACAAGTTTTAGTACGTTTTTCATTAATCTTAATCTCATTATTTTTTTCAATATCCGTAAGGTACCAGAGGTTTTATATGTTCTTAACAGTTTTAATTTTAACAATTTTATTAATCTCATTGACATTCTCATAAAGTGAATCAATCATTTTATGTTATTGTACAATGATTATTCAACTATCTAAGTTGCAAATAAACACCATAATAATAATGATGATGATGATTATTATTATTATTATTATTATATGAAGTAGTTATCTAATCATCTTTATTAACATCTTGATCTCTATGTCTAGGCCTCACTTGCACAGAGCAGAACTTTGTCACCAAGGCTGGGGCACAGAAGTATGCTGCAGAGCATGGGATTATGATTGTTGCACCAGACACCAGTCCTAGTAAGTTCACAGGGAGCAGGGTGAGGGGGGGGGGGGGCGATAAGGGGCCTATTGTCTCTCCCACCTCAATGTAGTTAATTGATTTTCTTCTGAATGGCTACCCCCTTCTTTCCCAATCGCATACACACACACACACACACACACACACACACGCACGCATGCACGCACGTACCCATGCACTCACACACAATTCCTACATACCTGCCTATTCAGGAGACTTACAGTGATGGATGGGAGGATAACTATGACTGTGTCTCATTATTCAATAATATGGCAAATCGCATGCTGAGAACTCAGTCTACAGATTCCTTAATCTTTGTTGATATATGTTGTACATTGTTAGCCCCTCTCTTAAATTTTCTTTCGCACATGTTTTTTACAATTCAGGGGGTTGTAACATTGAGGGAGAAGATGACAGCTATGACTTTGGTTCTTTATTAAATAATGTCAAGCTGAGAACTGGGATAACAGATTTCTTTAGCTTTGTTGATATATATTTAATGTTGTTAGCCTCTCTTAGATTTGCTTTCCACACACACAAATGTTTTTTTTTCCAATTCAGGGGGCTGTAACATTGAGGGGGAAGATGACAGCTATGACTTTGGTTCTGGGGCAGGATTCTATTTGGATGCCTCTGAAGAGAAGTGGAAAACCAACTACAGGATGCATTCCTATATTACCAAAGAGGTAAAGTCCCTTTTATACTGGACGGCCCCTTTCTGTGTCCCGTAGTACGGCCCCATTTGAGAGTAAAAAAAATACTTTACATGCTGACAACTGGCCGATCATTGAGCATTCATTCTGTAACCAAAGTGATGCTTGAACAAAGGAGGCAGGTTGAACAAAGGAGGCAGGTTGAACAAAGGATGCAGAAAGGATGCCATCCAGTGTAAAGGGGGTTTAATTAAAATTTTATGCCACTATCTTGAAAAACCATTAAGCTGTTAATTTAATATTTAGAAGTACCAAATCTGATGGTTTATTAAACTCCAGCTTTCATATTGTGGGAGATATTGGTTTTTATATTCTCCTTTTCATTAATAATGCATTGCTGAAGTTATGAGCCATCCCCCCACTGAAGCAGATATGTTAAAAAAGGAATTTAAAAATGAATGAAAATACCATCTGTTAGTCTGCTGTTTTGAATGTGCTTTAGACTGGGTTGCCATATTTGATCCACAGATCTGATAGGGACCTTTCAGACTGAGAAGAGACGAGTGCTAATAGGGCCGTGACCTAAATATGGCAGACCAACATGAAAGGAAGACGGCTAATCCTGTAATGGTATCTCCGCCTCTCACACGCCTTTCCACGCATTGTCTCTGCAGGGGCACAGTTATTAAATCTCGGCTCAATTCAGCCGGTCGAGGGCCTTACTAGCACTCGGCTCTTCTCCATCTGAATGGCCCTTAGTCTGCTGTTTTAAATGCACTCATAGAGTCTATGAATATACAATTTGTATTCCAGCTGCAACAGCTAGTGAATGCCTCTTTTCCTGTCTCTGGGAAACAGTCAGTATTTGGACACAGGTGAGGGCAAGGTGGGAGGGGATGGGGAAAGGGGTGGAGGTGAAGGCTTGTTGGGGTGGGGTCGGGTGGGACTAGAGGAACCAATAAAGAATGTTTACAGTGCAAGTGCAGCATATAAATTTTTAAAAGCTGAAATCAGTATTTTTTTCTGGCAACATGAGCTGTGTTTTTTTTTTCTGTTAAGTTGTTCATAGTTATATTAGGTCATGAATTTAATTCAGTTTTAGGTCAAAAGAATGACTTAATTTTAAATGACTTACTTTAAGAGTGAAACATAACAATAAATTTATTTTTGCTTATCGATATACCATGATATGCATCACATATTTTTATTGCTTTTATTATAATAATTTTATTCTTGAATAGATGGAAATGAAGTTTATAATATAAAATATCAGTATGAAAAAGATCTGACATTCCATTCCAGTATGGGAGGTCATGGTGCCCTGATATGCGCCCTGAAGAACCCTGGGATGTTCAGCTCTGTGTCAGCATTTTCTCCGATCTGTAACCCCTGTGAGTGTGCCTGGGGACAGAAGGCATTCACAGGGTACCTGGGCTCTGACAAGGAGGCCTGGAAGGTCTGACATTGAAGCTCTGTCTCTCCCCTCTCTCTTTCTTTCTCTCTCTGGAAGGTCTGTCATTGAATCTTCTCTTTCTCTCTTTTTTTTCCTCTCTCACTTTCTCTCTCTCCTGAAGGTCTGTCATTGAATCTCTCTCTCTCTCTCTCTCTCTCTCTCTCTCTCTCTCTCTCTCTCTCTCATATTATACCTAAAACTGCTATTTGCATGCAAAGATGTGGAGTGTTAACTGTGAAAATGTACTAAGTCTTGTGCCGCTCCAAAATTCTATATCCACCAATGATATCTATATTCTGTTCCTTCTTCCAAAATCTGTGAGCGACATATAGAGTATAGGCGGGACATTTTGAAGTTGTAGAATTGAAATTATTATTAAATTGTTCATTTTCATCAATCAGAGAGAAAATTTCATGCCAACTGCGTGTTTAAATCATGAAAAAGGTATTTAGTAATTTTTGAAAGGTATACTACATATAGCACAATTAATTTTCTATACAGACATCTTGATATTAAGTTAGTTTGATATTCTATATTATAGGCTCATGATGCTAGCTGCCTGGTAAAGAGCTACTCTGGACCCCCTCTGGGAGATATCCTCATCGACCAGGTGGGTTTAAAAATACATTATGCAAGGAAAGTGTTGAAGTATTTTGGAAAAATGTTTGGAAAGTTTTCGTTATACATACATACATACATACATGTCTAGCTGTGTCCTTTGGGTTAGGAACCAGTTAGAGGGAAAAAAAGCACGACCAAAGATATATATATATATATATATATATATATATATATATTGAAAATTTAGATCCACACACTTAATAGAATCCTATTGACAGTTTTCTTTAGATATCATCTGGGCTCGTTCAACAGGACATTGCTAATTTGCAGTGTCATTGGAAGTCACTTTATTTCTTAAGAATAACAAGGTTTTCTTAATTTGTAATTGAGAAAGTTAGAAATCACTTTCTCACTTTTCCCTGACATATTGTCTAAAATTTCAGGGCAAAGATGACAACTTTCTGGGTCAAGGTCAACTGCTGCCAGACAATTTTGTTGCTGCCTGTGCCGAGGCCAAAGTACCAGTGGTGCTCAGGATGCAAGAGGTATTTTTTTCAGGAATAATAATTATATCGAAGCTTCCCTATAACTCAGTGTTAATTTTACAGATTCATAAAGCAATTGCTAGAAATAATTTGTTTTTGTATAAGATTGCTTTATTTGCAATTGATGAAATAAATTTATTGTTGCCAAACTGAAACAGTATATGAGCAAAAATGTTCATTAGCTTGGTAGTTGGATCATACATGAAAATTATCACACACTAGCTTATTTATTTCCGTACTGTTAGCTTACCATCACCCTGAGCTTCAGAGCTGACTTGACACTAACCTTTTCACTGTAGCCTATCTCCATCGTGTCAAGTAACCTCTGACGAAAATAGTTTGACCTATTTTATATAAGCCAATCGAATCCATGTTTCAAAATTTTTCACCAAAGTTTGGTGAAAACGCTGATTGGTTGATCGTCAATCGGCAATCCTCGGCTGATTCCGCAAGCTCCATACTAACAACATAGTTATTGTCGAGTGCGGAGACATCCGAGTAGTTCCGAGTGGTTCCGAGTGCATAACCGTACACAAAGAAAGCATGGAGTATATCGGAATTGAAACCAGAGCAGTATGATGCCCTGCATCATTATCTACTGAGGGATGATGTATTTTGCGTGCTGCCCACAGGTTACGGCAAGTCCCTGATATTCAGCCTTATCTTTGATTGGTCCGGATTTGAACAAAGCGCGCTTTGACTCGTTCGCGTTCATTGGCTAGATCGTTCAATGAGTCATTGAGTGCGGGCTTTAAATTTGATTGGCGGGCGGCGGGGGCACTCGAATCTGGTCAGAGGTTACTTGACACGATGGAGATAGGCTACAGTGAAAAGGTTAGTGTCAAGTCAGCTCTGAAGCTCAGGGTGCTTACCATTGATCTACCTGACATTTATAAGAGGGTCCTGGCCGCTATACCACCTAGCGGTCAGTGAGTGTAACAACTACTCACATCAGTCTGATGAAGGCCTTCGACCAGGTTGGCCGTAAGCTAAGGCTATGGAAATATTTGGGCTTGTGTTTGATAATTTTCATGTATGAATCAGTATACCTTCATTATAGTTTTATAAGTGGAAGTTGCCAGTTGAAAACTATAATATTTGTAAGTTGTGATAGTGTGTGAGACGTACATTATGATAGTTTTTATATGAATTTTTATTTTGATTTTAGGGCTATGACCACAGCTATTTCTTCATCGCAACATTTATTGAGGATCACATAAAACACCATGCTAAATACTTGAATGCCTAAGTCAGGCATACGGCCACAGCCAAAGTGACAGAGATCATAATTGGTGGGCAGAGATCCCTCATTCTATCCAATCCAGCGCCTTGTTACAAGTGTCCAATAACGTGAAATTTAACATAATTCTCTTCATGATAATAAGATTCATTATGCACAAAGATCTTATGAAATATGCATTGTGAACTCAAATTCTGCGAAGATACTATCAAATGTATTAAAATGTAAACATGCGTAAAATAAGAGATCAAACATATCAACATCTGATTAGGAAGGTTAATTTGAATTATGTCAACTACCTTTACTTTTTTTTTTAGAGAATTTGAGATTTATGCCAATATGCCAAATAACCAAATCACTGTCAGATACATGAGTAGAGAACTCCTTGATGCTGACAGAAAAAATATATGAATTACATGTAGATATTTTTCATCAATCGGGTTACGTGAAAGAAACAACCAATCAGTTTTTGGGTAATATGCGATTGTTTATAAAAGTAACTGGCCAACTGATCTGTTGCATAAATATGATGTCTGGTTTCCAATGACTTGCTTCGAGACTGATGGAAGAAGAACCATCTTAGCTTACAGATTTGGAGAAAATTTGAGCTCTTGAGACATTTTCTCCAGGAGTCCCTTTTTTCTTTTACATGTACTGTACTGTATTTCTTTAATTAAATGATTTGATTATCAGCTGGAAATTAAGAGATAATTGTTCAGTTTAAGGGGCAGAACATTAAATTTTGATAGCATAAATAACTGAAAGGTTTATGTTTTGAATTCTATTCTGTAACTCAATAACCATATATTTAGGAGTACCTTTTGTTGAAAGCTGATGAAGAAAGAGTAATGATTCTGCATAAAAGGAAAATTGATTCAATTTATAAATTATATAATGGGAAACCGGAGATAGGAGGCTGTCTACTATACACTATGCTGCCTTACAAGACTAAACTTTCAATTTTTTTGTACCCACCCTTCTCCAAAACCCACAGAATATTGCTTGATTTTACACTTAATCATGACACATCAGGTTAACTCGGGTAATCCCCATTGGGCGCATTCAGAACAAATCGCTCCATGGAGTAATGATTCTGCATAAAAGGAAAATTGGTTCAATTCATAAGTTATATAATGGGATAATCTGAGATAGTCTAAAAGGCAATTGTCTGCACTGCATGATGTTATACAGGACTAAACTGCCATTATTTCTATACCCACTCTTCTCAAAATCCACAAATGTTGCTTGATTTTTTGAAAAATCATGAGACATAAGGTTAACTTGGATAATCCCCATTGGGCACTTTCAGAACAAATTGGTCCACAGAATAACAGATCCACATGCCAAATATGCTGCATAAACCCCCAACAGACACAATGTAGACAACGCGTGGGTATTACATAGTAAGCTTTCAAGTGGGCCATATTTGATCTACGAACCCGTCAGTCTACAGATCAACTTTGGTTGTGAAAGTAGCCATTGTATTTAAACACACCTGTTTGCACTTGAAGTTCTGGCAATGGTAGGAGACGTCACCAATTTGAAATTATTGAAGAAAATGTAGTAGTGAAAAAATGATTAACAGATAAACGACAAAGTGAACATCAACCATTTTATTCAATTTTATAGCAAAATACACAGCACAGCTGCCTATAAGTATATATTATTTATTTCTACATACATATGGCAACCTTTTAAGGAAACGCCTGTTCCTAATTCTTAACAATAATAATACTTCAACTTCTAACATTGACCATTTCTCACCCTCTACCAGGGCTACTGTTATGATTATTTGGACATTTTAGCTGAGGTGAAGAGAATAACTGTGAATTTAACCACAGATATTATCTGTAAATACCTAGTAAAAAATCAATCTGTGGCCCTGGTAGAGGGTAACCACTTCTTAGTTGTGGTAACCATAACCAACCATATGCTACATAATATCAAATGCAGATCTCTAACTTCAGTGCAATATGTAAAAACAGCAAATCTAGAATTAACCTCGGAAAATCCCTCAACATAATTAACACAATATCAAACAATTAGTAGCACACAAAAAACAAAGGCTTAATGATGTAGCCCAGAAAAAAATAAAGTTAACACATGAAAATAGTTGAGAAAAGACAAATTGCCATACTATGTCTAAATGGTACTTAAAACAAATGTCTTTATATTAATTTGGAATGTGACTTTGTTACTATGGTGATCTCACCAAAGCTTTGACCATATTACTTATAAATGTTTTAGTTCACAGGAAAACTGATGGGTAACCGACACACCAAAACACCAGTAAAAAATCTTCTTTAAAACAGAAATGAGATTATACTACACCTAAATTAGATTATCCCCACCCCACCCCACCCAAAAAAAAAAAAAAAAAAAAAAAAAAAAAATATATATATATNAGAGCTTGTCAAGCACAAGACTGGTGGTGGTGTCCATACGAATGCGCTTACTCCAGCTGGTGGTACAATATCCAGAGGCGGTATCGCCTCTCTGATCCTCTAGTTTGTTTTTGTATATAAGATTGCTTTTGCAATTGATGAAATAAATTTATTATTGCCAAACTGAATCAGTTTACATTCATTACAGTTTTTAAGTGGAAGTTGCCAGTTGAAAACTATTGTTTTTATCCATTCAAATTTTGTAAGTTGTGATAGTGTGTGAGACATACATTACGATAGTTTTAATATAAATTTTTATTTCAATTTTAGGGCTATGACCACAGCTATTTCTTCATCTCAACATTTATTGAGGATCACATAAAACACCATGCTAAATACTTGAATGCCTAAGTCAGGCATACAGCCACAGCCAAAAGTGACAGAGATCATAATTGGTGGGCAGAGATCACTCATTCTATCCAATCAAGCGCCTTGTTACAAGTGACCAAAAATGTGAAATTTAACATAATTCTCTTTACGATGCTAAGGTTGATCATGCACAAAGAGTTTATGAAATATGCATCGTGAACTCAAATTCTGCAAAGATACTATCGAATGTATTAAAATGTAAACATGCATAAAATAAGAGATCAAACATATCAATATCTGATTAGGAAGGTTAATTTGAATTATGTCAACTACCTTTACTTTTTTTTTTTAGAGAATTTGAGATTTATGCCAATATGCCAAATAACTAAATCACTGTCAGATGCATGAGTAGAGAACTCCTTGATGCTGACAGAAAAAATATATGAATTACATGTAGATATTTTTCATCAATCGGGTTACGTGAAAGAAACAACCAATCAGTTTTTGGGTAATATGCGATTGTTTATAAAAGTAACTGGCCAACTGATCTGTTGCATAAATATGATGTCTGGTTTCCAATGACTTGCTTCGAGACTGATGGAAGAAGAACCATCTTAGCTTACAGATTTGGAGAAAATTTGAGCTCTTGAGACATTTTCTCCAGGAGTCCCTTTTTTCTTTTACATGTACTGTATTTGTACTCAAGAACAGCATTTTGTTGTGATTTCTTTAATTAAATGATTTGATTATCAGCTGGAAATTAAGAGATAATTGTTCAGTTTAAGGGGCAGAACATTAAATTTTGATAGCATAAATAACTGAAAGTTTTATGTTTTGAATTCTATTCTGTAACTCAATAACCATATATTTATGAGTGCCTTTTGTTGAAAGCTGATGAAGAAAGAGTAATGATTCTGCATAAAAGGAAAATTGATTCAATTTATAAATTATATAATGGGAAACCGGAGATAGGAGGCTGTCTTCTATACACTTTGCTGCCTTACAAGACTAAACTTTCATTATTTTTGTAGCCACCCTTCTCCAAAACCCACAGAATATTGCTTGATTTTACACTTAATCATGACACATTAGGTTAACTCGATTAATCCCCATTGGGAGCATTCAGAACAAATCGCTCCATGGAGTAACATCCACGTGTTAAATATGGCCAACCCACTTAAAAACTTGCTGCATAATCCCCTAATAGACACTAAAATAAATTCCCTGCGGGTATTACACAGTAAGCTTTGAAGTGGGTTGGCCATATTTGATCCACGGACCTGTTAGTCTACACATCAACTTTCGTTGTGAATGTGGCCATTTTATTTAAATACTCCTATCCCTGTTTGCACTAGAAGTCCTGGCAATGGTAGGAGACTTCACCAATTTGAAATTATTGAAGAAAATGTAGTAGTGAAAAAATGATTAAGAGATAAACGACAAAGTGAACATCAACCATTTTATTCAATTTTATAGCAAAATACACAGCACAGCTGCCTATAAGTATATATTATTTATCTCTACATACATATGGCAACCTTTTAAGGAAACACCTGTTTCTAATCCTTAACAATAATAATGCTTCTATTTCTAACAATCACTACTCCTTACCCTCTACTGGGGCCACAATTATGAATATTTGGACATTCTAGCCGAGGTGAAGAGAATAACTGTTAATTTAACCACAGATATATTATCTGTGAATATCTCTTGAAAAATCAATCTGTGGCCCTGGTAGAGGGTAACGACTTCTTAGTTGTGGTAACCATAACCAACCATATGCTACATAATATCAAATGCAGATCTCTCACTTCAGTGCAATATGTAAAAAACGGCAAATCTAGCCTCAGAAAATACCTCAACATAACTAACACAATATCAAACAATTAGTAGCAAACAAAGACCATGGCTTAACTACATTGTGATGCAGCCCAGACAAAATAAAATTAACACAAATGGTTGAGAAAAGAAAAAATTGCCATACTATGTCTAAATGTTACTTTAAACAAATGTCTTTATATTAACTTGGAATGTGACTTTGTTACTATGGTGATCTCACCAAAGCTTTGACCATGTTACTTATAAATGCTTTAGTTCACAGGAAAACTGATGGGTAACTGACACACCAAAATACAAGTTACATTAAATCTTCTTTAAAACAGAAATGAGATTATACTACACCTAAATTAGATTATCCCCCCCCCCCCAAAAAAAAAATTATAATAAATGAAAAAGACACCTTAGTGCTGTGATCCCCAGGCAATTGCATCTACAGAGATAAAATGGTCTTCCCATTTTGTCAATAATATATAACAAAATATATTGTAAACTCTATTCTGTAGCTACAACAGACTCTTTGTGAACACCTGCAGAACTGTTTTATGACATGGTATGTAGTATTGTGTTGCCTTCAAGGTGGAAAATGGCAATATCACTGCTAAATATCTTAAAACTGTGGCTAGTTTCATTACATAACTTCAGCCTGGTAATTGTTCTTCACTTTTAGAACAAAAATTTGATCCAGACTTCAATTCAAGTTTTACTGGTTCATTAATAATATATAAATTGCTGCTACAGCATTGCTTCTCTCAAAATATATTACAAAACATATTTGGTATGTTTGAAAAATAACAGTAACAAATGGATAATAAAATTCATATGTTTGCGCATCTAGAATGATTTTTGTGCTAAAATTGACTTTCTTGGAATTGTGCAGAAAAAAAAATACCACAGCTGTATAAAACTTTATACAGTGTTAATTTGTGCTTGGTAACTGCAAAAAAAAAAAAAAAAAAAAAAAAAAAAAAAAAAAAAAAACCTGGCATCTGTCCAGGATCAATCCTTGTAAAATGCTGCTAATCGGATTATCAACGGAAACGTGGATTAATTAAAAAGTGACAACACTTTGGATGTGAAAATTAAGGCTCGAATTCTGATAATGACACACAAATTATCACATCAAAATAACATAGTTACTGTGTAAAAATAAACATTTGTGCTTTGGTTTTAATTAACCCCACTCTTGATAATTTGGGGAGAATATAATTGTGCTTCACATTTATATAAGAATAGATGCTTATAAATAATGTAATATGTGAACCAAAAATTACCTTGTAAATTCATTTAGACATTAACACACCACACTTAAGTTTTAGAATACCTGTGGTAAAATATTCACAACATTGTATCCTCCATACTTTTTCTATCATTATTTTTGTAGGATCATACCAATTGTTCAGAAAAGAGGTTCTGATAAACAATTTTTTGCTTGTTTTCTCTTTTAGATTTTTACATAGTTTCACATGCTATGTGTACCTTACTAAAAGAGTATTTCACACGTTTATATTTTGCACTCAGTTCACTGATATATATGTAATACGTATAAATATAGAATTGCGACACTGACCTTAAGCTTTACAAGGACACCAATTGCGTAAATAATGACTCAGTCTAACATAAATGTCAAATACTAAAAATACATTACACATGTAGATGAAATAAAACAGAATTAAAATATATAAATTTAACAATGACAAGAGAGGCTTTTGACTGGAGAAAGAGTAATAACAGAAATAATAAAATAAATTCACAACTATTCATATTAAGTCGAGTTATTATCATTGTCAGATCTCAACCAATATCACCTTAATGCACCAAATTTCAGATCCATTGTATAACTGCAGGCTTGATCTTTTAACATCTCCTTTTCCATACAGGCAAGCTTATTACCCAACAAGTGAAAGTGAAGAATCTGCATTGCCAATGTAGGATCTAAAACTGGGGCAAATTTAAGTGCTCACATAATTTTAGAAAACACATAAAACTGATGGGTAACTCATTTACAAAACTGAAGATTAATCACAGGAATAAGACTGCCATTTAGTGAAAAATCAAAAAAATATAGCTTTGGGTTCAGGGGGCTGCCTAGGCCAATATTTTTGGCTCATAAAACGTAGCAAATCTGTCAATAGTTGGAAAAATCTCACCCCTATAATTAGACACCCTGTTAAGACACGGTGATAGCAAGTGCATTTATATCCGGGGTTTAATGAAAGAAGTTTATGTATGCCATCAGTGCTATGCAACTACAGTCACCTCACACCTGTTAATTAGACTGTCTGATGCCTCAAGTGATAAACACTTGTTTGTAGGTGACAAAAACAATAAAAGAAGTTTCTTCATATCCAAAAAACAACAGCATCTTGTACTTAAAAAAAAAAAAGATATACCAAGTAGCCATCTTGGTACCTGTTCACACATGTAACCAACTTAAACTGGAATGTGACAAAGCCATGTCACTTTATATACTAGCTACAGTACCAGAAAACCTGTCGATGTCATGGCTGAAACTTTAAAATGGCACATAAGTTATCTTAACTTGATCTTGTCAACAGGCTAGTCAGAGGCTAGTTAATGGATTTTCAAAAATTTTTTTATTATCAGCATACTGAGGACAGAGGACAGTTAGAAAAAAAAAAAAAACTCAAAAAGTCAGGGTGTAACAGAGGTGTTAGCTTCCAGATCAAAACTCTCTGAAACTCACAGAGAAACAGCTGTAAGCTTCCAGAAACTCTCTGGTGTTCTCCGATTCCATTCCAAGATATTTTGTATCCTAGCTCTACCCAATTAAACATTTTGCCAAATGTTCGACTTAATTAAATTGTCTAAAGAAAAATATATATATTTACAAGCATACATGTAACTAATACAGCAATGTTTCTATTCAAAAAAAAAAAAAAAAAAAAATACAGCTATTTTAAAAAGAAGGTTCTATATCAAATGGGAGCATTTTTCTTAATTTGAAAATTATCATAAATGCTCTGGCACTATCAAATGGATCTCTATATGTTTCCATTGCCACTACCATCTCCATTCATTAGTGCTTGAACTGCTGGGTTACCTTCGGCGCGGGCTCTGAAAGAGGCGTCAAGTAACTCATTGCCATCATTAAACAAGGGATTCTGGGTAACAGGGAGACTAATGGTGGAAACGCCATTATTCGTGGCCATGTCCCCATCATAACTAACCCCAGAATCCACGCTGATTCTCGACTCGGCTCTTTTCTCCCCTTTTGAGATGGACTTCTTGGTTTTTGCCTCATCTTGGGAGAGAGAGCGTTGCCGTTGCACTTTGGCTGAGTTTGTCTTCCATTCCTTAAAAGCTACCTGAAATGCTCGCGATAAAACTAACGCCACAGCCTGCGCCTTTTCCTTGCTGCTGCATATCGCTGCGTGACAATACAACTTCTGCTTTTCTGGCAATTTATACACCCAGCAGACGATTCTATCATTGATGGCCCTGTCTGGTGCGCAGTAGGATAACTGTTCAATTCCAAACATAAACTCCTGTTTGGTCTCTGGATTGACCATGAGCATGCCCGTTTTGTTTATTCTCAGAGCAACGCGGCTCATGTTGCGCTCTTCTGTTGAGGAGTCCCATATCTTCTGCAACGGTGCATCCGTGCAGCCTTTCCCACTTGGCACGAAGGTTTCCGTGTTGCCAATGTAGCGCACAAAGAAAACAGGATCTTCCTCAGTGATGGGGACTTTTTTCTTGAACATTCCTCTTCAGTGGCACAAAAGACTTAAATGCCTGCTGAAAATGAAAAATGAAAAAAAAAAAAAATTATGTAATATGACAAAGTTTAATTTTTTAAAACCAAAACAGTAACATGTAGGCAATACATCAGGCATATTTACAAAACCTTTTTTGAAAACTATACATGTACATGTATAAAAAGCATTATCCATTTATATAATACAAAGTTGTTTATTGTAATCCATTTCTATTTTAGTATAATAATTTAGGTAGAAGTTAAACATTAATTAGGAGGTTTAGCAGGGGGCTGCCTAAGCCAGTGATATTCTTGGCTCCCTGAACAGTAGGAAATCTGCCGATAGTGGGAAAACCACGTCCCTGAACTAGTTGTGGCAGTGACAGGTGCCATTCTAAGTAAAATGGAGACATCTAACTCATTTCACAGTTATAAACTTACAAATGCAATTATGATACAGGTTTGACCTACCGTGCTCAAGTAATTCTTTATATTTTATATGCAGGCAAGTTACCATACATGCACCTTCAACTCCATTTGGCCCTGCCAGATAGAATATAAATTAATAAACAGCCAGAGACATCATGTGATTGTGACGATATATCCTTTTTTCCCCCATTCTAATGGTGTTTTGAGGTGAAATGCAAGTACTTTCTATCAGAACAAATAAATAATACAATGCAATTAACCCACTTCAGGGGCTGATTGAGGCCATCATCTGGGTCCTCCTGACGACAGTCAGATTTTCAAGTTAACATTGATGGGTATCTATTTTTTTCTGTCAGAAGACGATCAAAAATGGAGGATGCATCAACAAAGATAATTTGGAAGACTGTCAGAAAATAACTCTGGATCCACCCCTGCTCTTGGAATATATTCCGTGAACATACACCTCTTGCTGGCGCTTAAGGTGTTCCTGCATATATATCACCTGGGGATTGTCTATTATCTTACACATATACCAAACAAGTTAACAATATAAATTCATATCACTCTAACTGTTGCCTGCAGCTCTATCAGCAGCATCATTCTGTACAAACCACACTACTGGCTGCATAAATATTCTATAAAGCATGGGGCAATGCTGGTGTGTCATACATTGCCAATAGCTATAAAAACAATACACTTTAATGACATATACATGTAGATTTCACATTTCAGTTCTTTAGGAGTTTGTCCTCAATTTTAAAACATGATCGATGCAGTTGCCACTAAAATTATGAATCCAAAGATAAAACCTTCTAGCATTCAAGGTAGAAATAGAGAAAAATAATTTATTTCACAGTTACGAACTCATGGCTGAAATTAATAAACCATTGTTTGTGAATGTGGCCTGATAAACCTACTGTATCATGCTGAAAAGAAATTAGTCTATAAAAACGGTTTTAAAACATGATAATTTTTGTTCTGTTATAAAGGAGACAAACTGACCAGTAACACTTGAAAAAAAATTAAAGACGCCGTTAAAAGAATAATAAAATTGTTAAAATAAATAAATTCCTATGTAAAGTTAAACCTGTCCATATATATTATAACCTAAAACAATCCTTCAATAAATAAATAAATAAAAACAGTAAAATTATAATGTTACTTTAAATAAAGTCTCATGCCAGTTTATGAAGATAATCATCTTCTCAAATTCACTAAGTTAACAATATTTGACCAATTTACTGAACATAAATAGCCACTCCATTGTGTGTCCATAAAGTACTTCTACCTGCTGATTAAATGGCCACACTGTTGGGCTGGTCCATAGAAACAGTTCTTACATCAGTAGCCAGTGAATACTAGTAAATCTTACCTTAATAGCTACAATCAATGAGCATAAAATTAGTCATAAAATCAGCAGTAACCTGTTTATAATTACCTCCCAGACTGACCAATCACTCGTACTACTGAAACTACCACTTCGCATGGATAGACATAATGTCATGTACTAGTACTGTACGTGTCAGCATTTTACCCATCAGCCTCAGCCTTAGGCGTAACATAACAGGAGTGGCCAAACCAGAAAAACGGTGTATACTAGTACCTTAACAAACCACCTTCACGGCCATTATACCCATGACGTTGATGAATTGAGAACTGTCTTTGATGTATCGCCAGCTTTTGTTAATCTGATACTAACAATGGATACAGAGACGTGATGAATCACTTTGGCTTGAAATAAGACCTCTTGTGTCAATATCACCTTGTATGTTTATGTATTATACAGTATATCATATTAATGCTACTGGTAGAAACGGATGGAGCATTGCTTCTCCTTTTATATTTCTGGTTTCTGGTTGAATTTTTTTTCTCTGGAAAACTGCAGGTAATAGTACAAATCTACATTTGTTATTTCACATTTAAATCATATAATATTTTGCAGCAGTAGATAAATATGAAATCACTGTCACCTGAACAACATATGCCTCTAAGATGACAGTGAAAACCTCCTCATTTCACAAAATAAATAAACAAATATAATAAATAAACATATGATGAAATCTCTTTTCGCCTGAATTGACTTTTGAACCACGTTTCCACCTTCAATTACCTCACCACTACCTATCTCTTTGTTATACTGGTTGCATTATATAATGAACAAAATTAAACATAGATGACCTGTGAGGTTTCTATTTCTATAAGGGAAAGTACACGAACATGTTTGACGTGTACATGTTGGAGTGATAACAAATACTAACAGCAGGCTCCTCATATAAATTTGCCTGTTATCATGACCGTTTTTTTTTTTTTTTTTTTTTTTTTTTAGGTCAGTCTACTGAACACCTATGATGGACTTTAGTCTTTCTATTATTCTATAATAATAATAATAATAATAATAATAATGAATAATTATTATTATAAAAACACCCGTTGTTTCAGAGAGATTCCTCTTCTTAATTGCTGAATATATATACAGACCTGTTGTTAATAAGGAAAATACCAGTAATAATCAATTATTGGTATAAGAATTATTATCGTCATTATAATTACAGTATTTACCTCATAATTCTTTTTATGTTACCATTTTTAATTTAAGTCTAAATGAATTATTTCATAACTCAATTAAAGCCTAAAATTCATAATTACATAATCTGTGTAATTATATATTAGACTTAAATTATTTATATGGATGCAATTTTTTTAATTATGAAGTCAACTCTGTCAGGAAAGAGGAACAGAAATATAATATAGTGAAAAAAGTTTGTCTTTCATAAATACACAGTCAATCACATCAATCAAAATAGGAAGATGAAGATATAAATTTTGTGCAGAAAAATTTCTTGTGGCCCCAACAAATGTTAATTTTTGAAAAAAAAAAAAATTTTTTTTACTGAGCTGCTGCTCCAGCAAGTCCCAGAAAATAGTATTTTGATACAAATTTTGTAATATATTCTATTTCACCATTTGCTGAGTGAATGATTACGTAAAGCTGGTACGTACTTGCATTTTCACTTTGCATAACATGGATTATCTACTTTAAAAATGAAGATCTGGTAAAATCATATATTCACACTGCACATTCTGTTTCATTCAGTGTGTGTGTGTGTGTGTGTGTGTGTGTGTGTGTGTGTGTGTGTGTGTGTGTGTGTGTGTACCCTCAGCATGTAATCCAAGACCTGCCTGTAAACAGTTTACTTTCTTTCAAATTTCAATTATTATTTCAAATATATTTTGTTTCAATTTTTCAGCTTCCCTGATTTGAAATGGCAAGCAGTGCATATCCTTATCAAAGCCATTATTCAATTAATTTGTTAATAATTGTCAACTGAACTTAAATGTTTAATATGTTTTATGTATAGGTACATGTATTTATCTACATTAAGCATACCATTTAGCCTCACAAACATGACTTCTAAAATTTAGTTTTCCCTAGAAGCAAGTTCCACTAAATTTGAAATTAAACAAATATCTAATTATAGAGGCAGAAATGCCCCTTTTAGAAAGCTTGCCCAAATCTTATATATGAAAATAAAATAATATTCACTTCACCACAAATTGAAAAAAAGAAAAGAAAGAAAATAAGAAAAAAAAATGAAACTTTTGACCCATCCTTTGCCCCGGCCATAAAGGGGTAAATTTCAAAATAAATTTATTATTAATATTATAATTATAACTATTCGTATATATATACTGAGTATCATATATGGGTTCAACTTCAAGCTGAAACCAAACTGCAAGTCAAAATCACAGCGTGACCACAATTATCTAACTACACTTTAACTCAGGTCACATGGTGGACCGAGTGTGTTAGCGTAACCCCAACCCCGGTTATCTATGGAATAAAACACGTCACCTTTATAGCTGCCTTATCTATTCGGGGCAACTGCCATCGCAAAACAAATAAATCCAGGTGCAACATGTAATTCACCAGCTGCCGAAAGGTGGAGCTGATTCAAGACGAGATTGAAATGATGTGCTCTTCGAAAAAATATGATAGAAAACAGAAAAAAAAAAACAAAACATTATAAAAGACATTAACAGTGGAAAGATTGCATTTTAAAAGATTTTTAAGGAGAGAATTTTTTGTTCCCCAAGTGTTTATTCTGGGTGATCGAAACACCTTTGAAAAGAGTGCAGGTGCCCGAAAATTAGGTCATGAGCTCATCAACCCAAAACGAGACTATGGCCAGCTTGGATTTTATTCCTACGCGACATTTTCACATTTTCAGTGCTTTCCCCCCATTCATAACTATTTTCTTTGTCTTTTATCATATGAAGACATTAACTATAACTTCATTCCAATTATTGATCTGAAAAATGATATGTTTAAGAAGGGGTCGCTATGAAATCAGCATATTAATAAAAGTCAAACTGATTTTGTAGAATCTGTTTTATCAGCGCAAGATATTAACTGTACCTCGGCTCTATCCGCCATAGTTGAGTTGAAAATCTGCAAAAATACAAAGGCCGTAGGAATAATTCTCTTAATTTGTCACCTTCACCTGCGCGTATTAAGCGGTATACACGTCTACAGGAGCGCAAGGGATTCTAGTTTATTCTGAAGAATTTTCAGCGAGATCGGGGTCGGATATTCCCTGTACCAGAGTTTATAATTGGAACGGCGAACAAAGTGAGCTTCCACATCGGCTCGGAAAATCAGCTTGGGGTGAGTGATTATAAAGCGTAATTTCACCGTTAACTTCAGATGCGCTGACGTTTGTCTGAATATATGAGCCAATAAGGATATTCGCCATGCTACAGACGTGTATTTACTATCACTCAGTCGATAGTATCACAGATATAGCGTGGCCTTTATTTGGCGTCATAAATTCCGGTTCGTCGATTCGCGGCTGGCGTACACGAGGTTGCAGCGCTGCCAAGGACTTAAACGCATCTCTCTTACTTGTAATAAACACCGAAGCTATATATCACATCCAGCATTGATTCTAGCTTAAATTATCCCTTCAAAATATATTTAAAGTACAGATTATCGGGCAGCAGGTGTTAATGACCTGTTTGAAATAATTACGAGAGGTTACATAATGTTATGCCAGTGTTCTTCATTTAGATCTTGTTGATAGCTTCTTGATACGGTTATGTTTTCTACAGCATCATAACGGTGTTTACTGCATGTAAGTTGTCATTTGTGTCTGATGAAGGTTCTTAGTAAGAGAGGAAATTGAAGTTGTGATTTTTAGATTGTAAAAAATCGCACACGAAGCAGGCGAAAAAAGAGGTAGACCACTGTGAGCAAGTGACCTTGAAGAAATATTGGGAATCGTACTCATTCAACTATTGAAGCAGTTACATCTGTGACACTAATACAGACGCATAGTATTCTGCAGCCAATAAATGGAAAACAATCTGGTACAATGATGAAATGGTTAGAGACCTGCATTGCTATTATGATTGAGAGTCTGCCTTTGGCAACCCAATAAACTACTTCAAAAATGTACTAGTGTTTGACAGACTAGCATATCTTCTGCCCCTCCCTGCCCCCCCCCCCCCCAGCTATCATATCATGGCTTATGCACTGTTAATGTTGTGCTGTTTTTCTGTCATGTTTCATAACATTAAAATTTTTCCAAACAGGCTTGGTTTGACTTAGGGATTTATGGATTTTTTCAAAATTTTAGACTTGAATTTTTAACCTAGCTCATGAAATTTCCAAACTACTTATGAACATTGAGGAAAAGAGAGGATTGTTTATGTAATGGGAATTTTATTGAGTGTCATTATATTTTGAGCACTTATCTCCCCCCCCCCCTTTCTATTTTTACCATTGGCTGTATACAGTTGTATCCCACAGGGTCTTTCCATGTATAATATATTAATAACATCAGTTACAGCTACCATTTCGTAGTACTGCAGTCAAATGGAGACAATATATTCCCAAGTATAGTTCGATGAAATACAACAATGGTATTAAAAAGAAATGGATTGGTCTAATTACGTTGATGGAAAGAGTGAGAATTGATGGCTCTGTTTCCATTTTAACCTGGCATGTTTTACAGATCCATGACAGTGTTGTTGTGTAGAATTGTTTTATGGACCACATGGGAAAATCGATGGCTGCAATGCTAATAGAATAGGTTGGCAAGAAGCCATAGTAGGCATTATCTTAGCTTAGCAGTATGTCTGTGAAAACAGGCTTGCTTTCTGTGCTTTTTATTTGAACTGGGTATAATGCTTTATCATTCTACTTTTTTTGCTGCAAATTTTCAAAGCTCATATTATGAAATTGAAGCTGTTTTTTTTTTTTATAAGCGCTTTTAACACGGTAGTACTTTGAAGAGGCTTTGTCTGTGAAGAGTTGTCTACTGCAGTTGTAGCTGAAATTTCTCTTTGAAAACACACAGTTACAGTACTAGGAGTTGTTCACAGATTTCCGATTATTGTATGTTTTTTAAAGATTTATCAGATTTATTATGCCCATGCATTTTCTCATTAGTGAAAAATTGAACCCTTGTTCCTGAATGCTTAAATAGCTTTTATTTATATGATAATTGCTTTAAAATTTCACCATTTTATAATATATTGGACATTTTTAGGATTTATCTTTTTCAGACACTCTATGTACTTTGTAACATGAACTTCATTGAAGCCAACAATAATTAAATTAACGTATAATAATTTTGCAAGTTCATTGAAAAAGCAAATATTATATGATATTGATAATTTGTTTTTTTTTTTGGGGGGGGGGGATTACTTATCACAGTCGTTCAAATTAATTGAGTAATTACTATAGCATACTGTTATGGGAAAATA